CTTTTACCACCACAACCCCAGTTCTCCCTGTGCCCTCTCCTTTCCTCGATTTTTTTAGTCTAGATGGTCATACGACAAAAAGTAGAGGGAAAATTGCATATTTTGAGAGAACACCTAAGAATTTGGGCTGATTCCACTCTTCGGGGTCTTAATATAGCCATTACATTCTGAATGCCTGAATCCCGCAATTTACCACACAGCTCACAACAGCTTTTACCCCCGATGGGTGCACTAATGTCATCAGGCTTACATTGTGCTGTTATAATAATAATAATATTGATAAATGTTGTCGTTGAACAATAAACATTTAGCAAATGATAGAGAGTGTTTATTATGATGAAATTGGTGAAAGAAACTTTCGGATAACGTAAGTATGTCGTGTGAGTCCAGCCCTACTAATTTCTTGTAGTCATAGAAGCAATCGTAGTCCAAATTGGCCTCGCCAGACGACTGAGGAACACCCGCTATGTCGAAGAAACCTTGAACAGCCATTAAGTCGAAAACCCTCAAATAAAGAACCCAAGAGGTACAAAACAGTGAAGGAGCCCTTCAACGTTACAGTTACCAATAAATATATCTTGTTGGCATCCGCTCGGGTATCTGAAATCAGTCATTCAAGTGAAGGATATACGTATTCCAGATATAATCGCCCTTGTTGGAGGGGATTGTTCATATATTTTCTATTGCAAGTTGAAAAATCAACATTTACTTTACGGGTTTTTGTCAAAGAAAAGATAGGAGACACATATACAGTGACTTTGAAGAAGAAAGGAGAATTTCAAATGACGGTGGGGAAGAACGTTTGGCGTGGTCATGCCTATCAGGCGATCATGCCGAGAATGTGAAATATCCTATACAAAAATCTGCTTGTGATATTGCGGAAAGGAAATGTATTGTACTTCCAATTAACTCTTCACTTAATCCAACCATGTGAACTGAAGCAGTCAGTTCTAGGTAATCCAGTCCAAACAAAAAAGGAAATATAAATAAATAATATAATAAATATAAAAAGAAAATTGTAACCAAGGAAATAAACTCACATCATCACGCTGTCTGCGTGTTTTATATGATAAATGTAGCTCCCCAGAGAATGCCTTAGAGTTTCGTCAGCTTTTTTATGAAGCATCGTCATCATCAAAGATAGAGAGGTAATTAAAATGAGAGATTTCTGATTGACATGGTTGCGTGTTTACTATGGCTACAATTTTAGGAATGATGGAAGTTTGATGCCCAAGAAGCACAACACTTCAGGTATGTGGACATTTCATTAGGGATAACGTCGAAGATCACTTATGAATACATAGGAAAGCAGGATGCAATTACCATTCCTATTGGGATTAATTAGTATGATCCATGAAGAACAGTCGAGTGGGCTCCCATAGGATCTACACGATCTAAGGGTAGGCCTGCTGCGAGATGGGGGGATGTGCTTGTCGATCACGTGAAACAGCTGCGACAGCAGCTGAATGACTCCTCACATCGCCATCTTCGTCGAATCCTGAATCTACCATGGATAGCGATCGCGAAAGACAGAAGCGAATGGTTTGTTGCTGGTGCTCGCACATGAATGAAGACGAACCGTATAAGTAAGTAAGTAAGTATGATCCAATCTCCTTTACGTAGGTATTAATGTTGACCATGTGAACTAGAAACAATCAAGGCATGATAGGAAAAGTGACAGTTCATGAAGCTTTTTGAAAAGTATTCAATCAATATTAAATCATCCATGTTCCTTCAATCTCTGTTTGAGGAGGTAAATATCTACCTGTTCCGTTATTACACCCACTGCTTTGTACTGAGACTTTTCCTATACAAACCAAGCCAACATGATTTGGTGCTCAGTTAATGCTGTATGATAAGAGTAATGACAACAATCAAGAGTGTGATTATGGCCAACATGGTCCCTCCAGTTCTGATTCGGTACTCGAGTTTGGTTGTCAACAATCGCATTCATATAAAAGCGTACGCTACAAAAGCGAATCTACTGACAATTTCGATGCAAAAGTCAAAAGTCAAACAATAACTTATCGAAAATAGAGTTGTCTGTGGCTACAAGAGGTATGACAGTGAATTATGTAAGCAAATAAAATGGAAACGTTTGCAAGTGCAGAAATTCGACAGTGACAGAAGAGTAGCATACACATGTGGATCTACCTACACTACTGAAGTATGTTGCTCTTGTTCCTATGAACGCCCTTCCACTATATAGATCATTAAAAAATTTCTGCCCGAATTTCAATATTGAGGTAGAATAAGTACTCAAACGTCTTGAGTGAAGGTCGAACCCTGGAACAAATTCCGCCACTTCGCTTTGAATGCCCACTGTTTTTATAACAAGCAACGGAGTTATTGCTAAGCTACTACTAGTTGTACAAATCCTGGGCTTGAGTTTAAAACAAAAAATTTATTGAGGTTAGAGATCAGCGAAAACATCAGAGAACACCTATCTTTTTTACATCACTTGATATTCTAGGTGAGACTACTTCTCGTTCCGTAATACCCTTCTCAGAGCACAGAGGCTACCACTTGAGTATGAGGTATTCGATATCTAATAACATTCAAAGAAAGACAGTTCTGAATATCCGAATTAAAAGAGAATATGACTATTGGAGTAACAAGATTGTTAGCGATGATAATTAGGTTCAGCAAAATATTTAGATAAAATTGACCATAGCCACTGACTTTCAAATATGGTATCGTAACGAATGCAATCACTTCGACGATGATCAGAATACCAATGAGTACCGTCTGAAATAGCCAATATCAAGTTACAGTTTGAAAGATCGAAGAATTTCACTGGTTATTGCAACCCGTTTCCATAAAAGTATCTCATTCCCGATCCATGAGAAAACTGTGCTTCTACAGTGTTTGCTTACAGATTTATCCAGAAACTCGAGCCTTCCAGGGATACATAGCAACTATTGAATACGCTTAGCTTCCATTCCTACTCGGTAAAGCTGGAACTAGAATATCGGTCCGGTATTAGCCCCCCCCCCCCCCTCGAACACGGCGTCGCGCTTGCCGCAACCGCCGCGTATCGCAGGATTACAGTGGAAGATTGGAGCACACAATTTGTGGGTTAGGGAGTCCTTTAATTGTTTGAATTCGCTGGCCGCTCCCTTCACTTTTAATTTTAATGCGGTCTTGTTCATCGATAATAGATAAGGGAGGAGTCATTCCGAACAGGTAAGTCAAATAAACATAAAAACGAAAAAAGAAGAGAAAAATTAATCAAAACCAATCAGAAAAAGAAGGGCAGTCAATGAAAAATTTTGCGTCCTATTGATTGCTGCAGGCGGTCTGAGTATGGTAATTGCAGTTTGGAGCTGCGAGACAACTGAAAAAGATTTGCCGCATGCCTCAAAGCGAACGTGGGAAATCGGGAGAAGTTTCGATCCCCCCAGAATACCAGTCCCTTAATTTGAAGTTCATTTTCGTGTCTTCAATGGCTAGTTTTGTAGAACCACAGCATTCCACTTCTTATAAGCCTTCCCCTTTTTCAGCAATGCTGTGTTCTGAGCGGTTTTTTGCATGTAATATATTATATGTACAATATAACTTGCTCAAAATCACCTGCAGGAAGAATTTGATTTCTTTCTTCACTCGTTCCATTTCGCTTTTCGTACCTGCCTCCGATGGGACTTTAATTTTCACATAAATAATCACATACATTATGATCATAGCTGCGGGAATGAAATAAGCTTGAATATTCATAAACTAAACAGCTTAAGAATGATTTCAGAAGAGATTAGACAGCAAAGATACTCAAAAAGAAACTTCCCCAAACCATCACCTACATCGTTATAGTGAAATTCTCCAGGAACCCTGTTGCTGCAATTGTACCAAAAGTAGAAACCTGGAAAGAAATACAACTGAGTGTTTCAATAGAGCACTCTTCTCGAGCAGGTTTTTTTCTGTGAGATCGCTTTCATAATTAACAATTTATTTTCCTCGAGTAATGGGATTAAAGCATTCTCCCGCATAGAGCTCCCGTCCCTACTGAAACGGTCCCCATTGACATAAAAGAAACCTGAGTGTAATACGGTTATACCCCTTGTTGTTAATGTTTCTAAAGTTTTTTTGTCAATTTTCAGGTCGGTTCCAGGTCGGCAATGTAGTGGGGTGGGGTGAGACAACTAACCAGTAATCAGGGCAGGTAGAGTGAGGTTACGACTATAAGAACATACCATCTTTAGCAAACTGTTTTCGACATCCAAAGAAATTCGACAATCCAATAAAAATAAATACGTAAATCCAGAGAATTAATGATATTCTGAATCAATATTGTAAGCAGTTATTTAAAATGGGTTCACTAAGAGCAAGTAGGAAATTTTTAAAATTTGTGCTACAATTTTTCGACTAATCATTTATTTTGGTTAAAGATATAGCAAACGCTCACATCCTCGTCCCCCAGTAAGAGAATAGTTTGTTGTGAATTTGTGGAGCGACAAATATTAGAAATCGGCTGATGCTCATGTAGAACGAAAACAGAAACAGGCCATTGAATGCAATTCCTTCGAAGAATAATGGACCGTAGTATAATGGGATACTGTCTCCCATGTACTGAAAGATTCAGAATGAAGTTTATATTCTAGAAATAAGTTAACTGAAAAACTCGGAAAGATAGAAATTACTGGCGGTAATGTGGACTGGATCCATTCATAGGATTTGTGGCCTGTGGAGTTTCTTTAGAAGGAAAAGAAATTGAGAATAGTTTGGGGCGGGCTTATACCTTTACTCAGTGATAAGTCCTACAAACCAGGTACAGCTGTAAAAAACGCAGAAATTTTCAGTCGGAACAATACAATTTGTTTCTATTCTCAGAGTGTAAATGGGAGGGACGAGTTTTCCTGAATTTTAAATATGACCGGAAACATGGTACAAATTGAAGGTACCTGAGAACCGGTTAACGAAAGTGGAAAAGCAATATAGAGATCGAGCAAAAGGGCGCAAACATCACAACATTGCAGTTGTACCGTGATCACATAAAAGCTTATAAGATAAAACGTCTTCCATCCCTGTAATAATCAGCATTGGTTAGAATCAGCATTGGTTAGCGAAAAGCAAGCAACAACAATGAGAAAGGAAACAGCAACAAAATATCCCATTAGACTACTTACTCTGTAAAGCGTTAGAGCCAGTAGCGAATGGAGAATTAGTCCGATGAGGGCAGGAAACAGTATTAGCATTGAAGCCAGGAGACGAATTCCAAATGTCGCCTCCACGTCCATTTCGTCCGATGCAACAGACCCTCAAACTCCCTTATTTTTATGCCACTAAAGAAAAAAATAGGTAAAATGAAATATTTTGAAACGCCTTATTCAAAAAAGGCCCGACCGGTTCAGCAAATGTGACTAAAACGAAGATTCATTCCGGCACTCGACTTTTACAGTAGCCCCCTGGCTTACCGGATTACTGTAAGAGCCGAGTGCCGGACTGAATTTTGGGCAAATGTGCGGCTGCTCGGTGGTAATATCCCATGGTTTCACAACTTCGTTTCCCTTCTTCATTACAAAGCAATTGAAAAAATGGTAAATGCATGAGACATGAGTATATTTACATACTGAATGGGGAACTAGCTTAAATTCTTCATTCTGGCAAATGACTACTTAAAAAGGTGTAGAGAAATGGGAATTAGATGCGAAGAAGGTAGTGATGGAGCGCACAGACAGAGGAATTGCGAGACTACCAGGAAACGGCGTGCTCTGTTATAAATGGAACTCTCCTACATACCAGTTTATTGAAACTATAAATACTCCTCTCAATTAATATAAATACTGTAATCATGGTAGGCATGGAGGACAACGAAAATCGAGAAATAGTTATTAAAGAAAACATAGGTAACAAAAACACCAATTTAGACTGTTATGTCGTGGTTGACATTCCCAGTAGA